AGGGTTCCAGTTTCTCCACAACTTTGCCAGCATTTGTTGCTTGCTGTTCTGTTAAATTTTGCTATTCTGACTGGGGTGAGATGATATCTCATAGTTATTTTGATTTGCATCTTTCTTAGAGTTAGGGATTTTGAACATTTCTTCATATGCTTGTTGGCCATCTGAATGTCTTCTATGGTGAAGTGTCTGTTCATATGCTGTGACCATTTTTCAATTGGATTGTTTACCTTTATCTTGTTGTGATGCTTATGTTCAGCTTTTTGAGGAAACACCAGCCAAACTACCTTCCATAGTGGTTGTACCATTTTACAATCCTACCAACACTTGACTCTCCACATTCTGTCCCATAGTTATTGCATGTTAAACTTTGCCACTGCAACTGGGGTGAGATGGTGTCTCATGGTTTTGATTTACATCTCTCTTATTGCCAGTGATTTTGAACATTTCTTCATGTGTCTATTTGCCATCTGAATACCTTCTCTGTGAAAAATCTTTCCATGTCTTTTCCATGTTTTTTTTGCAATTGGGTTATCAACCTTTTCCATGTGGAGGCCCTGTAGGATTCTGTACACTTTCGTCATGAGATCCTTGTCAGAGATGATATTGTCAATTCCATCCCTGCCTGCACCCCCAGTCAGTAGGTTTCTTTTTATCCCATTGGAAAACGCTTTTTATACATACAGGAATCTTTCTAATCTTTAGAAAATATCATTCCTTAATTTTATCCTCTTGTGGTTGTGTATATCTAGCTCTACTTGATTGACAATCTCTTTATAGCATAGGCAAAGTCTTCTTAGCTTGGTTCCAATTTGTCTCTTATGATGTTTATGGTTTGGAGTTTTACACCTAGGTCTCTGATCAATCTTGAGTTGATTTTTGTGTAAGGTAAGAGGTGTGGATCCAGCTTCAGCTTTCTGCAGGTAGCAGTCCAGTTTTACCAGCACCATTTGTTGAACAGGTTGCCATTTCCTCATTTCATAAATTTTGTCTCTTTGTCAAATATCAGTTGACCATAGATAGCTTGGTTAATTTCTGAGTTCTCAATTATTTTCCATTGGTCTATGTGCCTATGATTGTACCAGTACCATGCTGTTTTGATTATCAGAACTGTGATTTTGAGATCAAGGAGTGCTATGCTTCAAACTTCATTCTTGTTTTTCAAAAGTGCTTTGATTATTTGAGGTCTCTTTCCTCTCCAAATAAACTTGCCAATTATCTTTTCTATCTCTGAAAAATTAATTTGGTGTCTGCATTGGCATTGCATTGAACATGTAGATTGCTTTTAACAGGATTGTATATTTCACGATTCTTCCTATCCATGAACAGGGAGCATTTATCTATTTATTTAGGTATTTTATTATTTCTCCCAGAAGTGTTTTATAGTTTTCTTTGTACAGGTCTTTTGTATCTCTAGATAGATTCACTCAAAAAATGTCAGTTTGTCATTGGCTATTGTAAATGGTATTGCTTTCTTATTTTTCTGCTCTGTGTTTTCTTTGTTACTGTGGAGGAATCCCATAGACTTGTATATATTTATCTTGAATCCTGTCACTCTACTAAATTGGTGTCCTTGTTCTTAGTAGTTTGTTTTGGTGGGTTGCTTTTGCTTTTGTTTTTGGGTGAGTCCTTGAGGTTTCCTGTATACATTGTCATATTCTGTATATATAGTGACAGTTTCACCATCTCTTTGCCAATCTGTATGCATCTTATTTCTTTCTCTTGCCAAATTGCTATAGCAAGTAATTCCAATACAGTATTGAATAGAAGTGGTGGCAATGGGCAACCTTGTCCAGTCAGTCCCTGTTCTCAAGGAGAATGATTTTCATCTTTTTCCATTGAGAATGATATTGGCTCTTGATTTTACATATGTACTTTTCACCTTGTTGAAGAAATCCCTTTTTTTCCTATTTTGCTGAGTGTTTTAATCTGGAAGAAGTGTTGAATTTTGTCAAAGGCTTTTTTTTTTGCATCAATTGCTACGATCATATGGTTTTTGTTATTTGTGTTTTTAATGTGATGAATTAAGGGTTTTTTATGTTGAATCATCTTTGCTTACTTGTTATGTATTGCACTTTGCCATGATCAATTATTTTTTTTTATGCTTTTGGATTTTATTGGCTAGGATTTTGTTAAGGATTTTTGCATCTATATTATAAGATATACTGGTCTGTTGTTTTCTTTTTTTGGTAATATCTTTGCCTACTTTTGGTATTAAGGTTATACTTTCTTCTTTTTAGAAAATATTTTAATTGGTTTTCATATAATGATTCCTTTACATTATGTTTCATTCATATACATTTTGTTTTTTACAATCGTTTAATTATATTGTGTTTCATACATTACACATTTTCTTTTACATTATTTTTTTAATTGGTTTGCTTATAAAGTTTTTATATATTGTGTTTCACACTACTCTTTACTCTCATTATGTTTCATACAGTCATTTTCATACTTTATGTTTTATAAAATCAATTACCATTGGAACTTGCCCATCATTACCCTAACTTTCCCATTTGTTTTCCCCCTCCCTCAACCTACCAAACTGTGCTTTCACCCCTACTTATCCTCACCCTTCTGCTCCTCCCTCACCACTATCTTGAGTTCTTGTATATTCTTTACTAAGTTATCCTTCTATTTTTATAATTATTATCTTGCACAGTATTTGTCCTTATGAGACTGTGTTAGTTCACTACGCATCACTACTGTCCAACCTTTTCCAAGTTACATAGCATTTGTCAAAATCATTGCTCCTGTGGGCTGCCCAGTATTCTATTGTGTGAATGTACCACAATTTCTCAACTTATTCACTTGTGGTTAGACAGTTGGGCTGCTTCCATGTTCTTGTGATGATAAATAATGCTGCTATAAACACTGATGTACGAATCTCTGTCCATGCCTCAGGTTCAATTTTCTCGAGGTATATTCCAAGTAGTGGAATAGTTAGGTCATATGAAGTTTCCATGTTCAACTTTTTGAGGAAACAATAAACTGTCTTCCAAAGTGGTTACACCATTTTACAATCTCACCAACAGTGTATGAGAGTTCCTGCCTTTCCATATCCTCTCCAATATTTATTGCTTGCTGCTCTGTTAAACTTTGCCATTGCTACTGGGTTGAGATGGTATCTCATTGTGGTTTTGATTTGCATCTCTCTTATTGCCAGTGATTTGAGGTATTTCTTCATGTCTGTTTGCCAACTGAATGTGTTCCTCTGTGAAAAGTCTTTACATGTCTTTTGCCTATTTTGTAATTGAGCTGTCTGTCTTGTTTGTTTGTTTTTTGTCCCGGAGCCTAGGAGTAGTCTGTAAACTTTTGTTATGAGACCCTGGTCTGAAATTGTATTGCTAAACGTTTGTCCTTAGTTGGTAGGCTTTCTTTTGTTGGAAAAAAAGGTATTGATGAGCACAGGGATTTTAGAAAGTACAGATCATCCAAGATGCTGGGCTATCGAGGAGGAATGTGACATCAGGATTGGTGGAAGAATCATCAACAATCTGCATTATGCAGATGACACAATCCTGTTTGCTGAAACTGAGGAGGACCTGAAGCACTTGCTGCAGAAGGTCAAGGACTGCAGTCTTCAATATAAATGGAAGCTCAACATCAAGAAAACAAAGATTCTCACCACTAGTCCAATTGGCAGGATCAGGATGGATGGTGAAGAGATTGAGATAGTTAACAGTTTTAGTTTACTTTGTTCCACAGTCAACACTCTTGGTAACAGTAGCCAGGAAATCAGGAGATGAATTGCACTGGGAAAGTCAGCTGTGAGGGACCTCTCAAGAGTACTGAAGAGCAACAACGTCAGGCTGGAAACTAAGGTGGGCCTGATCCAGGCTATGGTCTTTGCAATTATGTGCTATGCATCGGAGAGTTGGACAGCGACTAGGGATGATAGAAAGAGAATTGATGCCTTTGAGTTGTGGTGCTGGAGAAGAGTATTGAATATACCATGGACTGCTAGGAGAACAAACAAGTTTATCCTGGACAGGGTGAAGCCAGAATGCTCCTTGGAGTCAAGGATTCTGAAGCTTCATCTGACTTTTTTGGGCATGTTGGAAGGAGGGACTGGTCCTTGGAGAGAGACATCATGTTTGGGAGAGTGGAGGGACCACGCATGAGAGGAAGACCCTCAATGAGATGGATCAATTCTGTGAGTGGAGTGGTAGGAATGAGTGTGTTTTAGATGGCGGGGTTGGCACAACATAGAATGGCATTTAGGGCTCTTGTGCATAGGGTCAGTATGAGTCACAGGTGATTGAATGATACATAACGACAACAACAAAAATAAACAACCATTCATCAGTTTTATCCTCTTCAAATTGTGCGTTTCTGGTATGCTTCCTTCTTAGAATGACTCTGGGCATTTGAGCCCACCTGGATTCAGCTGTCTGCTTGTTTCTACTTCCAATTATTGGTTTTGAAGCCGCACATCAACCTGCCCTATTCCTGCCTGTCTTTGATTTGCTCAGTCAGCATCTTGACTTATCCATCCTCACATCAACCTTGAAGAAGAGAATCTTGACCAGAAAAAGACTATATTTTTAAAGGAGGTTCTAAACAGAATCCTCAGTATGAGCAGCTCCTCTCCACCCAGCCTCTTTGATCTGGCAAAGCAGAGTCTAATGAAAGATGAGGTGTGGGCCAAACATGCTCTGCAGTCTGTACCTCTGAGCCTCATCCGTCCATTAATAAGAGAGGTCGGCTCCAGCAGGAACAGCATGGGTTTGAACGCCGTGATGTGGGCCTGGCCCGTCCTCCGCCCGCCTCTGAGGACTTGGTTGGAGGATCAGCAGGATCACCACGCTGTCTTAGATGATATCGTGGAAGTCTTTGATCTCTGTCCTTATTGACATGAAAGTTCTACCGAGAGGACGCAACCTGAAAGTGTTCTACCTATGACCAGACTTCCTCAAGGCTTTCAGGGACTTGGAGACTTCAAATGAACCCTGGAACTCTCAGAGTTCCTTAGACAACCCTTCTCAGGAGAGGAGCAGCCATCTCCTCCTGTCTTGAAGCTCACCATACATCTGTGCTTCAGTGAAGCTTGTGGATATCAATTGCCCAACTTTCTCATCTCGAGAATCAGGTAAGGGAAAGGTCTGCCTCACCTTTGCTGTAGGAAGTTGGAATTCATGAGAAACCCAACAACTTATGCAGTCTTGGAAAAGATCCTGCAAAACGTTCATCTTGATCATCTCCAGGAGCTAGAATTCAACCACAGCCTGAAGCTTCAGGATCTGCATAGCGTTTTTCCTATCCTGGGGCAGATGGTTCATCTGAACACATTCCAACTCTGTCCAGTTATCGGGCATCCCTGTGTTACTCAGGCTAAACAGGAGATGGACAATGCCTACCCTAGACGTATGTCTCAGTTCCTCCATCTACACCAGTTCAAGCATATCTTCTTGTCTTCTGTGTTTTACCTGGAAGGACACATGGGCCAGATCCTCAGGTACCTGGAAACCCCCTTGTAAGCTCTCTGCTTCACAAATTGCTCCCTGTCACTATCAGACTGAGCTGGTGCCCCTGTACAAGCCGCCTAAAATGCCTTTATTTGAATTATGTCATCTTGATCGACTTCAATTCTGAATTGCTCAGAGTTCTGCTAGAAAGAGTCTCAGCCACTCTGGAATACCTGGATTTAGATGGGTGTAGCATATCTGACTCCCAACTCACTGCTCTGCTGCCCTCCCTGAGCTTCTGCTCTCAGCTCCAGTACTTGGATTTCTGCGGCCTGGAGAACCTGCTGAGACAGACACTCCCACCCAACCAGACCAGGTACCTGTTGCTTCCTCTCCTTCTGGAGTGTTACAGGGGTCTCTATTGTGGTGTCCACAGGAGGAGCCTTTAGCAGCATCTGACTCAGCTGACACTGCTCTTAAAGGATGTAGGGCCACTGACCAGGATCCAAGTGAATGGTGGTTTATTTCTCTATGACGTGATTGAGCTCTGGTTGAAGTTAGATGATGTTGTTGTCAAAGCAGAATATATATAATTTTTAATATTTTTGCATATGTGAATTTTTAAGTTTAAGGCACTAGTGACATGTATATAGCAAAAAGGGCTAGGGAAGGGGGATGGAGAAAATGTATAATTGTGAATGCAAACCCAAATTCTGTAAACATTCCTTAAAGTGATAAT